ATATATATAAACAATCTGTTATATTTATAGTCATCACAATTTAACATATGTGGTTGTTAAAAATAAATTGTTATCACAAAATTTTAAAAAACAGTAAAAAATTTATTTCCCCAAATAAAACTAGTTGATAATCTGAAGCTCAAAACAAAATGTCCCAAACACTGTGTTGGCAAGCCTATACAGACAACGACTAGGGGAGTGCATTATTTGCTCAAAATCGAAAACTGAACCGAACTGATCAAGTTTGGCTAGTTCGATGCGGTTTTAAAATTTCATTTTGATTTTAAATTTTAAAAACTTCAATATTTGATTTTCGATTTTTCAGTTTGATTTTAATTTTCATTTAATCGTACAAACCGACATTTTATTAAAAAAAAATTATATTTTAATTTCATTTCAAATAAATTAAGAAAATCAAAATTTTTATTATATTTAATGTTTGATTGAAATAAATATAGGAGTCAAAAAATTAAATCAATCTAATATGGATAAGCTATTCAATTTATAATACTTATTCTTAGCAAAATTATAATAAATAATTAAAATTTGATTTTCTTTTAATGTAGCCATTTAAATCGAATCAAGTTTCAATTTCATCAGTTTGATTTTATAAAAAATTTGAAATTTTGGATTATGAATTTAGATTTGATTCGATCCGAACTCACCGAATGCTCGCCCTTAACGACGGCCTAAAAAATTCGTCCACTCAGAAACTCTCTCTTCCAGAATAGAGACAACAATGGCGGTTGATGAAGTCGAAGGTTGGAGCGAAGCTGTGGAGGATCTCGTCGACAAAGGCGACGTCGATAGGGCGATTTTCCTATTGGAATCCGTCGTATTGAAGCTGGAAAGTCTGACCGTCTCCTCGCCGGAACCAGGCGTCCAGCTCCAGCTTGCCACCGCTCTTAGCGACCTTGCCGACCTACAATCCTCCAAGGATTTGTCCATCAAGGCCGACAAGATCCGTTCTCGCGCCCTTCTCCACCGTGTTAACGCTCATCACTCTGAGCCGCCAAGGCCTGGGTAAGTTAACTAGGGTTTCCTCGTTTTGTTTCACCATAATGTTATCGATTGATTTATTTCTCCATGTGGCTAAAGCGACTCGGGTTCTGGTGGAGAGTCGTTCGTGCGGCTGGAGGATAATTTGAATGCAACATCTTCAAATCAACACCGAGACGACGAGGAAGGTATCGCATGCTGTTCTGTTTTTGCATAGTCTGGATTTCTGCTCCGGTTTCTTGACTAGAACTTCTTTGAGATACTTTTTTTTTCTTGCGTGATAGGTTGGGAGGCTATTGCCGATCGTGGGATGTCGTCGGGAGAAGCTTTGCTCTTTGCGCAGAATGTCGAAGGAGCAGTATCAGACATTTTAAGGGTGGATGAGCCTAGTGCATCTAGGCGACGCAGAGGGAGAGGATCTTTCTTGTACAGAAAGAATGAGCTATACTGTGACCAGGTGGATGATTGTCCTGCCGCTGGCTACAATTTTTCTTCTGAAGATGAAGATGCCAGATTTAGCCCTCTGGAAGACGAATCTAGAACACTAAGGAATTGTGAGTATCTAAAGTTCTGTGTTTGGATAGGGCTGGGATTTAATTGATATTGATTTAATTGTTTTCAGCAAAGTATGGTACCAGCCATGTTATCGTCTTATATGATTTCCCACCCACAACTCGAACAACGCAATTGGAGATGCTATTTGACAAGTTCAGGGAGCGTGGTTTTGTTATTAGATGGGTCAATGATACAGTTGCACTTGCAGTGTTTCGAACGCCATCTATTGGTAAGTTTTTTTCTTAGATTTGAACGGTATATACATGTGAAGTGTTTACGGGCTGCATTCATGATCTTTTTACATGCACATTTTATTCATGATAATGTGATATTCTTCTATTTTCACAACCATTATAAAAAAATGCTTCTACGCCCTACATTTAAGTTAAATACAAGCTTTCTGCTGTTTTATTAATTTTTGATATGATATATTATCAGGTCTAGTTTTTTCCTCTGTTACTGTTGATATTGGATCTTGTTTGTGGAGAATAAGGTGTACAGGAATTGAATCTCATGGTTTCTCATAGTTTTGAGATTTTTGATGGAGAAGTACAGAGAGAATAAGGAGGGTTTACATATGAATTTTATTGATTCAAAAAAAGCTTAACATAAGGTTCCAAGAGATATCCTTTGGAAAGTTCTAGAGAAGAAAGGTGTTTATATGACTTATATGCAAGTCATTAAAGATATGTATATATATGACTTGTATGCAAGTCATTAAAGATATGTATACTAGAGCAATTACTTGTGTTCGAACAGAAGGAGGATTGACCAAATACTTTCCTATTTCAGTTGGATTACATTAGGGATCTGCTTTATGCCCATATCTTTTTGCTTTAGTTATAGATGCTCTTACTGGACATTTACTGGAGGATGTACTTTGATGTATGCTTTTCGCTGATGATATCCTTCTTATGGAGAAGACTAGAGAAAGAGCTTTGGAAAAACTTAAATTATGGAGGTTTACTTTGGAGTCTAATGGCCTTTGTTTGAGTAGAACTAAAACCGAACACATGAAATGTAATTTTAGTAGTTGTAGCTCTAGTGACAGAGTTGTAACTATGGGTGATTAAATTATTAAATTATGTGAACGTTTTAGATATCTCGGGTCTCTTGTTTGAAGTGATGATTATATAGATGGAAGTGTTATTAGTAGAATTCAAGTTGGTTGGTTGAAGTGGAGGAATGCTTTGGGCCTATTGTGTGATAGAAAAGTACTGCTTAGATTGAAAGGAAACTTTTATAAGATGGGGGTGAAACCTGCAATGCTCTATGACGCAGAATGTTGGCCTTTATAGGGTTGGTGTAGCTCCAGTGGCAGACAAAAGTAGAGAAAGTCGTTTTAGATACTTTGGTCATATTAAACGTCGACCATCAGATGATCCAGTTAGGAGATTAGATGTTTTAGATTCGACTTATATTAAGAAAGCCAAAGGTAGACCTCAAAAGAATAGGGCATATTGTATAAAAATGATCTTAATTTATTAGAATTAAATGATAATGTGATAATAGGATGCAATGGGGGAAAAGGATTCATGTGGCCGACCCCACTTAGTGTGATAAAGGCTTGTTGTTGTTGTTGGTTTCTTTATGTTAACCTTTTTTATGATTATGGAATGCACATATTTATGAAAATAGTTGCTCTTTTTTATCCCATAACTGATGACTTGTTTCTTGGAGCATTATGCCATTCAGGCTACATGGTTTTGATTGGAAAATTGAGGTACAAGAAGTAGATAAACAAATTGTGATTTGTGTGTCATAAGTAGTACATTATTAGCTGTAGATTGTTAGCATTGTATATTCAATGACTTCTTGTCGACATACTTTTTATAGAAAGAAAACAATCTAATTCCATTGTTTAATTGACACCAATAGTGTAAGAACAGCAGGTTAAACAAAGGCATAGAGTACAAAAAGGAATTGATATCTGCTCCAATTTTTAGTGGTATTCTTAAATACTCTAATCTATTGAAACTTTTCTACGCTTTCATGCTTTTTTTGGTATATCCTTAATATCATTAAAGACCAATTAGGGCCTTATGCAAGAAAAATTAAGGCTAGCTCTCAGCGCCTCATATCTCTCAAGTGATAAACCTCAAGAAGACTTGCGAATGTCTAGGTGAGTGTTTTGTCTAATGGCATTTGTTAGTGAGGTGGGAGCCTTTCCTTCATTGATGAGATTAGTGATAATAATTCATGTATAGAAGATTGGTTTGTTTTTTATGTCTATTTTTTGACATGAGGTGATGCCACATAATTCATAAAGAGCTAGAGAACCAGAGTTGTAAATTAGAAGTAAACAAAATTGTGCGTACTAAAGCTTCAAATTCTTGAGTAGTAAATACTGAGAATGGAGAAGATGAGCGGTAAGGAGATGGAGATCTACTACTATATTGATGGAAAATGGAGCATGAATTTTGACGAGGATGGAATAGATATTAAAGAAGATTGGATTATCCATATGCTAGATGCGCAAAAAAACATAAGTTTTTTACTACACTCGTTTATTATATCTATTTGCAAAGAAAGTTGAATTCGGAATAATTTGGAACTTAAAAAATTATAAATTTTCTCCACTTAAATTAATGTGGCTTCATCACTTCATTCACTTCAAAAAAAACTCAAACATAAAATTAGTTTATAGTGATATAGCCATTTCATTTTTTTTAACATCTTTGCTCTAGCGAACACTTCAGTTGGCTCCTTGTGTTTGCATTGAGCAATTATAGGACGTTGAGAGCATGACACAAATCGACATTATATGTTTTGTATTTACAATTACTTCAGTTAATGTTATGTTAATAGTTTATTTTATTTTTAGTTTCAGGAAATTTCAATTTTATTTTTTTCTATTTTGGTTTTTCTTGATAAACATGCTTATGAACCCTATGACAATGTTCTACGTTCTCTAACGTTTAGGCCTGTCTCCCATCCATTTTGAACTGTTTTCATGTTTTGATTGATTGGGTTTTGATCTTTTTGGATGCTTGATTTGATTTTTTTAGGTTTGTGGTTGTTTTTGGTTTGCTACTAGGTCTTAATTGTCTTGTTGACTTGCTGTACAAGATGGTGTTGATGGGCATTAATTGCCCATCGATGTGGGTCATGGCTATGATAAAAATTACTACTTTTGGTACTTTAGTTGAGGCACAAATTTTGGATCATACCTAGCGTTTTGGTTGCTTTTTCTTCTCTTTAGCTTTAGCTCCCTAGTTGTTCTGTTAATTACTTTTGTTGGCTATTTTATAACGATTTTTACTCAATTGCTCTTTGTGATGCAAATTATGGTATCTACATTTGATTCAAATAGTTCTTGATTGGAGGGATTTATGAGTATAAATATGGACTTTGAGGCATATAAAAAAAGTGGATGCTTTTCAATAATATTCAATCTTTGTAAGTTTTTTCGTTTTCTTCTTCTTTTGACTTGGATGCAATTTGAGATTATACTTTTTTGGGGATGCTTGCTTGTACCAATGTGAAACTTAGATCGCTATTTTGATTTCTTTTTTATTGCTTTTTCCTATCTTTAAGTTTTAGTTATTAGTTTGCTTGCCTTATTGAGCATTGTTAAAAATCATAGAACTTGAATTTTTTTGTTTGACATGTGAGTTCTTGATCAAAGTATGGGTTTTCTTGTGGTCTAAATATCTTTAGGTTATTATTTAATTGTTGCCTTTTTTTTTCTATTTTCATCAGAAGAGATGAATGTTTGTTTGATGATTTTTGGATTGAATATTGAACTTGTGTTTGTGATTTAATGCACTCTTCTTGTTTGCATTAGATACCCATAAAATAGAAGACAACCTGATTAAATTTGACATTTTAGGCAAATATTGCATCATCATGTCAATTAGAAGTAGGGCATATTAGTGCCAATCAACAAAATAATAACAAGATGCAATTTTTACAAAATATAGGCAAGTTTTGATTTCAAACAATTGCAACATCATTAAGACGAGGTTTAAAATGTGCTAGTACATTTTACGAAGCTTATAAATTTGGAGAATTCTTAAATTAGATTGAAGATTTAGAAGATCTATTTGAATATTAGTATATGGCTGATTCCTAAAGAGTCAAATTTTTTAAAGCATGACTCATTGGATATGCTTAATATTATTGGCAAATTGTTACTACTAAATCTATATGGGCTGATATGAAACATAAAGAAAATTATTTTTCATTCATTGACTATAGAGATTAAATGCATGATTAATTTAAAATTTTAAATATATTGTTTTGGTTGTTTGAATATTATGCATGATTTACAAATTTTGTAGCCATGTATCATTTATCATTAGGCTATTTTGTTAGCATTATATTTCCTAAGCTACGAATGAATTTAGTCATAAGTTACCAAATACATTTCAATAGGTTGAACATTTCTTTTTGTTCTAGGACATAAGGTATTCATTTATTTTATAAATTAGAGCTATAATGATATCAAAGTTAACATACAACAATTAGAAATTCCAATTTTATTATTGAAATCAAATAGCAATTACAACCAAACACAAGAAAATGGGAAATAACCAGCATCACAACACAACCCCAAACTAGGGCTTAGGGTGAAGGTTGTGGTGCTGCGGCTTGAGTGGGAAGTAGTATATGTGGAGGGCTGGATGTATAGAAGATAGGAAGTTGGTGTTTGGCTAGATGTCAGAAACTGACGAGTGTTTGATGATTGAGTTAGGTTGGTAAGAGAGATTGGTGGTATGAAGGGTAACAGGTAAGGCGGAGGAAGGCTTGAGAAGGTTCGGTTGGAAGGCTACATGGGGTGTTGGGACGACAAGAGATCAACTCAACAAGGAGGTTGAAGTTTGTACGATTGCAGTTGGGTGAAAACAATCTAGTAGGTAGTTGTGGCGTGAGTTATAACTATATGGAGACACCCACAATAGGTGGCTGAATGGTTGTAGGAAGGAGAGGAGAAGGTGGTAGCAAGTGTGAGGGATATGGAAACAAAGGAGGATAATCACCACTTCAAAGTGAGATACACCTGAAGCACCACCTGTCCTCGGATACAACCCTAGAAGGGAAAATAGGAGACGCTGCTGGCTGTCCTGACAGAAAACACAACTTAAACTAACCATAAACACCAAGAAAACAACTTATATAGTACTAGGTAATAAGATGGGGCCTTAATCCTCTTTGGTCGTGACCCTGAACCTCTAGGAGGGTCAATCAACACTTCCTTTTCCTCCTGTTGAACCGGTTCAAGCATCC